AGACGCACGCGCACACGTACAAACACACGAAATGAAATTACAACCTCACAGGCTGGTAGGATGAACGAAGTGCGTCCAATTCACGCACATGTGTACTTTCATTCGCATAGTCAGGCATGTATCTATACATGGACACCTCAACGGACACAATTATATGTACACATGCGTATATATACAACTATACCTTCAGATTCTGCAAGGCTCCGCGCATATTGCGGTTCTCCACGGCCGGCAGGATCAACATAGTGGCCGCTATATTGTTCGCTTCAAATCCATTGTCAGTCAGAAACCGCCACATGTTCATTTGATCGTCGAAGCGTCTAGATACGTTGGCTTCGTCACTGTACAGTGACATCAGATACAGGGGCAGCACAGAGTCGTAGGGTACATTCTGTGGGGTAAATGAGTACAAAAAAGATTGAAAAGGAAGTACATACGATCGAAACGAATCCATGTTTGGTGTGGATATGCAGAACTTTACGCATGGACAGTATCTCAAAACGTCCAGATAGAGGTGCTTGAATTTTTGCACAGCGCTAGTCACCCCTGAGATGTGCACAAACAGAAGCGCAAGAACCCAAAATATCAGACTATCATACATATATATATATATATATATGCGTATATTTATTTACTCAAATATATGTATATACACATATATACAAACCTGGTAGACCATCTCGCCCAGAACCTCGAGGGCTGATTGGTGCTGGTCAACTTGAATATAGTATGTTGCCAGTTCGAGGTATCCAATGTGGTTTGCTTGTCCTGAAACACTCTGAAAGAAATAATGGCAGATACACATTGCCGTCATTGAGGAGAGGTATAGGTGCGTGATTGTAACTAGAAAGTGTGTATCAATTTGAACGTGACAGTAAATTTAGGGTTTAAAGCCTAAATATTTCATATTGAAAATCGATAAATTCGTGGTATTCTGAGAACCTGGTCTGTTTTGGCTCGCAGCGAGATTGTCAAAGCTTAGTTGTATACCAATACAAAAATCGCATTATTTGGGAGTTGTCGACAGTTTTTTTGACCGAATAGTGCACACCATGTTCAAATCAGGAGAGTACACATCTCCCTTTTAATGTAGAGATGTACAGATTTATAAACCTTTCTCTGTCACGAGGATGACAACATATTTTAACTCGGGAAACCTCAAACAAAAACTAACATATGACGGACCACACACCTGCTGATTAATAATATCCCAAGCCTGTTCAATGTCACCATTTTTGCAACTCAGTCCCAAAAGCAAGTTTGTAGTGACAACGTTGGTCTCGACGCCGTTTTTGGTCATCATGCCCAAGACATGATTTATCATGTCAACTGTATGTTGGTGAAGGAATTGGAGAAGTCGAATTAATTCGGAGTTACGAAAGATAAACAAGATGACGCGATAAAAATAAGAGGCCAAGTTTGAAGTATAAGGATAACTTACGATATATAATCGAACAGGTATCCCCGCCATACATGGTACTGAAAAGCTCATACCGTTTTGGCGACATATATTGAGATGCTATTGTGCGCTTTCTTTTGCACAGACTGAACACGTCGTGTACAGGTAGCACACCCATGTGATACCGCACGAAAATGTGACTACGCTTGTGCGTGACACTATGCAGATCACGCACATAGCTACGGCAAAAATGCTTATGTATGCTCGTACAGAATTAGGACTGGAACAACGAGATATCGGGCGACATAGAGCACATTGACCTGTTGTATGTATTTCAGGATCCCGAGCAAGAACTTGACCTATCTTCCAGATGCCGAAAGAACACCGTAGCTCGGGTATGTGTGCAACCTTACTTTTTTTTAGCAAGATTCACACATTCATTGAGTTCGAACACATGCATATATGTACCGACCCCGCACAGGCACATACACATACACTCCCGCAAACGTATATCCACGTGCCCCATACCATCGTTCTGTGCCGTGTACACGCTGAGTATTGCGTTGTACATATCCACAGTCGGAGGCAGTCCTACGTGCTCCGCTCTGGCGAAGACATCGAAACCAGCCTTTACGTCTCCTAGGCCAACGTGTAGTCGAAGCAATTCCTCTACAACCTATATATGAAATGAAATAGAAGTTTGAGTACTACTATTGACAGGTCGTGTAACGAACTAACTATTCACAACATAGTGGAAAAAGATGAAAACATGTGTACGAGTTCAGTAGGGTGCCAACATCACAAACATATATACACACACACACATACACATACACCACAAACACACACACACGGCTAGCACAAACACATACACAAGCACAAACGCGCACACTTACACACTCAGGACCCTCAACACGGACTAAATTTCTTCTCAACACTTGCGAACATGCACATCATTGCCAACCGCCTTCACACACACCTCATAAGTCAGTTTTACGCCTTCGATCCTCATCTCCATGAGTAGTTCATCTGCTCTCTCCACATCACTGGTGTCAGCACATAACGACAGAACGTCCGCATACGCACTGGCTGGGAGCGTCACAACTTCAGTGGACACAGCTGCTATGAAATTCGGAATTAGATGGCACGAGTGAGAAGATATCCCGCACTCGTGAAGAAATTTTTTATACTGAATTGTATGTGATAATATACGCATACGCACTCGCTAAGAGTGTCACAGTAGCAGCGAAGACAGTTAGGATGAGAAAAGTTTCACATTCGTTCATGATATTTGGGTGTACTGTATTGTGTTGGCAACTAAAAATAGTCGCACACAACTCGCTGGGAGCGTTACAAGATCCAAGGGCATAGCTGCTGAAAATCTAAAACAGAACCGGCCTGACAGTATAGTCAACATACAGAAATATATGGCTTCTTATGCTGTATTGGTACGTACTCGCAGTGTAAAAGCAATTTATAATATCTATTCACAGTATTAATTAAATTGGTATACGTACTCGCTGCGAGCGTTCTACCCTAAGAGGTAACAGCATCTGTAATAATCAGCCCAGAATTCCTAACATGTATCACCCGTTTGCAGGAACTGTACAGTAACATTAAAACAATTTGTGCACAATATTTATGTCTAAAATGTGCATGATTCTATCCATAAACGAGTATGAACAAAACACACCAATACAACGTGTGTATAAAACATATTTTTATCTTCAGCAACATATCTACAAGTCTTGGGAATACACAAACACACCATCGCCGACTGAAGGATCGTTTAGATTAACTGGCACATGACAAGGTACGATACACGAAGACCATAGTCGCATGTAAGGATCAATATGAAGCAGATATTGACCAAACGTGTATAGCCTACAAATGCTCTTGGCATCTCACTCATGCCTTTAGTAGTGAGGTGGTCGCATCTACATACATGGCCGGCCACACACAAGTATTTAGTGCCATTAGTTTAATGTGTACACGCAGACACATACCATCATCGGCGACGGGCTTCACCTGGTTACCCTGGCGCACATTTGCACCGAATTCGTTGGTCTCAGTATGTATGTCTGCAATGTCTTCAGATACGACTGTGGGGATGCGAAAATAGGTTTGTGAAACATAGATCTCAATCATAGGATACACGCAATGCGAGTTGGCAGCTTCGAAAATACAGAAAGAAATTGTAAAAGTGGATTAAAACTATTCTATATTAAAGAGGCGTACGTACAAAAATCTATTACTGACTTGCAATTGTGGGGAGGGTCTTATATTATTACGTTTACTAACTTGCGTTCCACGGTACCGTAAACGATAATTGACGAAGTCAAGCAAATAGGCACACGTGCATCGTTTGACGACGTGCGTATCCCATATACATGGTATATTTAAAATGGTCAATTCTGATCGTGCGAGAACAAGATAACGCAATTGGTCTGATATAAGGATCTAAACCGGTAGACAATTCCCACAGGTTAATCTATCGATAAAAGGCATCCCCGATACAGAAAGGAGTGCAAAATAAACATGTACGATATTTATCGAGATGTAGTATATATATATATATATTATATATACATCAGACAAGTGACTACCAAATTGATCACTATTTTAACAACTAAGTATCGCTTACATCTACATGCACAAAAAGACGATGTGAAATGAAGGATATGTACCTTCAGGGGCAGCTCTGACGCGTTTTGCCGTCGCAAACAAATCTAACCCGCTAAACTTCGCGCCACTATCCCGTGCGTGTCTGAGGGCAGACAGCATATCATCGAGACTCACATGGCACCCATATTGCTCAGCGGCGCGCACTGTGTCGATCAACTCGGCGTACGAGAAGTGAGGCAAATACGCGTTTATCATGGACCCCAGAAGTTCAGTACTCGGTTTACGCCCGTTTTCTAGCATCGTGCTGAAAAATTCCCGCGCATCAAAACCTGTTGTAGTTTGCATGTATGGATAGCTAGTATGGGTGAGAAAAGTATGCCAAAATCATGGTACTCATGCGTTTGCCAATGGGGTGGCACCCACTGCTTGCATCGAACTGGGGAAGACCCGCAAATAGAAGGACGATTTTAAAATATTGGATATAAATATGCTGGCATGAATGAAAGAGTGCGAGTCGTTTCTATGCACCAGGCGCTGGTAATGTATCCATCATTTTGTGCTGAAGGATAGTCTGCCAAATACTGGATTTCTAGCACAGTGTTCATGCAGTGAGCGTTAGCTCACTTTATTTTCTGTTCTTAAACGGAAAGTGCAGTGGCATGGGCACGACGAGAAACGCGCCGTATTGGCATCTACTATTGTAAATTATGGGACAGTATCAAGCGTGCATGGGGTAGTTTATGAAATAAGTGAACAATTTGAGAGATATGTCCCACAAGCATAGAAATACAGATAGACAATATAGTGAGAAGAATCAGCGACTCATTCAAATACCTACACATTAAAATAATACGCACATACGTTTGGAATCAGCCGAGATTTGAGCGTGTGCTATAGCGGTGTAGCTCTCCTGCGGTATTTTCCATCCTTTTTTTTCAGAAACCAGGCTGCAGAGCCGTTCTACCAGCTGAGGAATGTGTAATTGTTTGTTGGGATTATTAACTGTGTATAAAATTATACAAATGACAAAAAGGTGGAAAATAATTGCCAAAATAGTGGTCAAAATGAAAGTCAAAATATAGAACTCAATGCATCCCTCCAAATACATATAAAAGTAGCTCGTTCGATTCGAATTTGTGGTGATGTTGAATCGATCCGGCACAGTCTTTCCACATGAGGAAAAAGTACATTTTTGAGTGGCGTCGTCTAATTTCTAACGTTTCTCGTGTCTTTAATTGTCACTGCGATGTGATTCCTGTTACATCTGCCAATGTCAACCGATATATTTCTACACAATAAATGTTCAGACACGGTTGACTACGTATGCAAAGTCAAGTTTACATCATCTACAGATTCACGGTGCGTTTGTACGTTGAAATGGAAATATGTTCCGTTGTCTGGCTTACTCATGATATCGCAATAGTACACCGGAAAAAACACTCACACAGGAATGGATATGTGCGAGTATTGTTGGGTAGTTCACAGCATTGCACAACAAACACGGCCGGAAATCTTATAAAAAAAAGACAAGACGAAGAAGTGAAAATATGAGCGATATTCTCTTTTCGCACTATAGACAGGATAAAACGACCATCTCCCTACACAATTCATGTTCCTATAGATGTATGTGTATCTGAGATCTTTACCATCAACCAAATGAAATATGCATGGGTAACTTGAAGGGTGAGAGGAGGAGCACTGACCCCTGCATATGGTCGTGTCTGATACGAAGACATACATTACAGCGATATATAAATAAAACCCTTACATGCTTCCAAAACGCAATGCATAATTTATCACGTACCTGTGCCTTTGCGTTCGCATCCAACTCAAGAGTCGGCGAAATGCTCGTGCTAAAGAGCAGATTTAGCGTTTCAGCATCACAAGATTGCTGTGATAACACTTGAGCGAGTGTAGTCTCAAAGTCCTGTAGTTCCGTGGTTGTTATGCTAGGATATGATTGGTCCGTTTCTGAAACGCTCGCACCTGATTGGTCCGTAGCTAAAGCGTGTGTATCCAAATGGTCCTTGGCTGCTGGGATGTAGATATTTCCCCCTATGACACCGCCCTTACCAGTCACTAATTCCACCTTATCTGGATCAGCCAACTCTATTGGTGTCCAAGTGCTATCTGTACGCTCAGCCGTGTTATTGCTTTCGTGAGAGTTGGTACCGGCTTCACCAAACTCCACTCCAAGCCCGGATAAACTTTCACCATACGGCGTCTCACCAGTACCGAGCTTGTCCTCGTTCACTTTTTCCTCAAACATAACCAAATGCATCGAATTCACGTCCGCATACGCTGGTGGTATAGCCCCTGCCAACGCCTCATCCCATACATCGAGTGTAGTGATTGGCAGATGGAACGACCGCTGCAGCCTAGACTGTGTCGGCATACTCGTATACACCTTCCTCTTAACCCTACTATGCGCCGAGTACCCCTGTGACTGCTCCTGGGCAGATCCTGTAATCCATTCCTGAGACAATAAGGGGTCTGTCCCAGCTGCAACCCCTGAGACCTCAGTCACACTTGCACCAACACTTGTGCTTGTACTTACATTATTCATTGGTGTGGCTGTAGGTGTACTGTAAGAAATAGTTGCATTCGATGCCTCCTGCTGTGTTCTATTGCGCCTAGCGGTGTGATACATCCTCCCCTGCGGCGAAGTGCGTGATCGCTGTTGTCGCTGTGGCTGGTACACTATGCATGCACGCCTATGCTCTACGTGTGCTGACGAGAAGGTGCGGCTTTGTGGTTGTGTGGGCATGTGTGTGTGGGTATGTGTGCGGATGTGCAGCTTCACGGCCTGCGGTATTGTACGTTGTCTGATATGCGCTATATTAATCGTTTGTACCCCCCCAGGCATACTACTTTTTGCATGTACATTCCTAATACCAAATGAACGTATAGGCTCCTGTGCATAGCCTGCATGATGTGCATGCAGATGTGTACCGCTGTATGTGTAGTCTCGTGCGTGTACTCGTATGCATACACCCCTTGCACCCCTTCCTCGACTTTTCTTTATCAATCTCTGTATCACCTCGCCAAATAGGCTGATAATTCCACCATCTCTACTTACAGGCGTTGCCAGAGAAATATGCGCACTGCTGGCATTGCATCTCTGTCTGTGCATGAATCTTTTGTCGACAAAGTGCGGCAAGCTTCTACTATATAGTGTACTGTCTTCCCTGAAAACGTGTCTATCTAATGACTGCATTCGCATACTTCCTTCTGGTAATAAGAACATATCCTTTACCGCTATACATCGAAGCCTGGTCGCCCTCGATAGGCCTAATAGACACCCCCTCATAGCTGGTAAATTACAGCCTCTAATGCTAAATAGTCCATAGAATAGCAACCCTCAACCATAACCAATGGATTCACTCGCTCTCATTGAGTTATATAGGTATATATGTATATCTATGTTAGCACTAATACTAGGCAGACGATAGCATACTGGTGTATAAATTAACTGCTTACAGCTGATATATAGGTATATATTACATGTATATATATTGAAAATATGTATGTCGTGTGTTTAAGTATTATTATAAAAAATGTTTATGTGTGGACGCTGGACTGTGGTTCATACATATCCACAAAATTCAGAAAGCCCGCGTCATTTATATTTCCTAATCCAAACTGTGTTGTTATTTTTAAAAATCCCTCATTTACTCTTGTGTGTCAGCCGATTCTGACGCATTTTATTAACACTCGATGAATACGAATTTAATTTATAATACACGATATTAAGTATAGATTTATATATGTACAGCATCGTATTTTATTAACGGACTATTCTTGCATGCAACAACGTGTATATTCCACATTGATGTTTGCATCTTCAAGGACAGCCAAGACTTTAGTTAGACACCTCAGCAATCTGCACAGTACGCTCCCTATCTTTCAATCGCGTTCAATAGACAGGAATCACTACATCAGCTTACTACAACACCCTCAACCCCAATTACCGCGCCACAGTGTATCAGTAAGGAAGTTAAATACAAGGTGTGTTTCCCCTCCCAAAAAAAAAATTCGTATGTAAGCATGTGTTGTCATTGTTTGCAGACATATAAATGTCTTCATTATTTGCAGACTGATAAATCCTTTCTAGACGCAATGGTAACCACTTATAACTCCCAACAATAGTAATTACACAAATAAGGCCAGACTTCACACAAGACAATATGGTGCAGAAAAGAGCTAAAATAAAGAGGGAGTCTTAGTTGTACGACGGTGTTGAACATACCCCAAGCGCATATTTGCGCTGTAGTTTTGAAGTTTATGTTGTGTAGGATTGCCACAACAAAAGTTTTATAGCACAGCAACGAAATCACCATATGAACAGCGGTGCAATATATCGCGACAGATTGTATGTATTAAACGACATGTCTTTCTACACCTCATGCTGCACTGGATAACAAATTGAAGCAAACGATAGGTGACGAAGAGTACTTTCCGATGATCTCAATATTTTACACATCATAGTCAAGTATTGGAGAAAGGTTAACATGTAGGATGTTCCAAGATGTCAAGAATGAATAGTGTCGACAATATAAAATATATAACGGGATATTCAATTTCATTTGTACATGCTTGTATATTAAAGTGTATTTGTACACATAAATCTATGTATTTCAAATTTTATGGTGTTCAGCGAAGTCGAGTTTATAAGCTACATAGGCTATGGGATAAGCTGTATGCTCTTATTTCTTCGTACAATCCCTGAGGGCCGGTTTCTAAACCGGTTAAACTACACAATATCTTTGTCTCATACGGTATTTCATTAACATAACATTCATACACACCTCCATCCACTTATACCTATGGGTGTACTGTTATTCCATCGCTTATACACCATCTTCGCGTGGCGTAAAGAGTAAACGAAGATCTTTTATTTCAGATGTTTATCGTTCCGCTGTGCCGTGAATTCACAACGCACTTCAGACTAGAATACTCCCAACTATCGAAATGCAGCATCACCACTTCTTACCACTGTCGTTTTCATTGATTGTCACCTCTCACAGTAGTCGGTGCGTGACAATGGTACTGGAAAGAATACGTGATCTGCCAGGGGTGTTCATGAAGGTAGGCGTTTCAGGACATTATCTCTTATTGAATATGTGATCGACAATATCCTTCCAGTAGCGCCTGTCTATGTCATGCATGCGCTTGCATGTCTTTTCCGACATGATGGTACGGTATACTGGCAGACTTGTGCGTACGCGTTTGTTCGAATGATAGTATGTTCGTGGTCCTTTCCGTTCATGTTTGTACAGGTATAGGCTCTCAAATACCCTTGCCCGATATATGTACAATGTTTTATTAACCCGTAGATTTCTGATAAGCAATACATTCCAAAAGCTAGCCATCGTTGAGATTACCACACGCTCGTGTTTACATAGATAGTATGCAATGTGGCCTAGGTTACACATGATAATACGAGTAAATATTGATACTAACGAACTCGTGAATTGGCAGAGGATGACAGGGAAAAGTCCAGAAGTTCACAATATGCCGTTTTATTGATGTCTCGTTATTCGCATCATTTCTCAGGACCCCGAGGCAGTAATTGAGAAGCTAGAGAAAATTAGAGATGGCGGACACGATAACTTGCAGATAGTCACTGATTTCGATCAGACTCTGACAGCCTACTTTATGGTATAATATGCGAGTAGTGTCAGAGTGGTGTCGGTGATGGTGTATTATCTCATAGTTTGTAGGTGATGTTGGGGTGACCATTTGTATTTTGAACCGCAGATAACGCGAACAGTATTGCTTTGTGTCATGGTTTGAATGGAGTGGTCATCCTGCCATGCGAATTTTGCAATTGGTTCTCTCATTGTTGTTCATGTAGCTTAATTCGTACTGTCAGATCGAGGTTGTGCCAGCTTGAAGCACTCGCTGCACTCATTGAAGAAAAGTTCTGGATGTATTGCCGAAAGTGGTAGCAAGCTAATGCAGCGTCTGTGGTGTGATGTCATGTGTTGTAAAACACAGGCGTACGAATATGTGCACTACTGCCTCTCCATATGTCTGTAGATCAAGCTTAAAGAGAAGCGCGTGAGCGTTTATTCACGCTCCAAATTGATACACTTGAGTATGACATACTTACCATCTATCTAATTCTCAAACAGCCGGACGGAACACGTGTAAGTTCATCTCATGGTCTTATTGAACGAAGCAAATTCCTCGTACCAGGTGAGTGATGACATTTAATTTGTCCTACTTGTTGTGAACTGACATGCTTCGAATGTAAATCAGTTGTGCATTTGGAAGAGATTGTATTTGCACGATTGAGTTTGAGTTTGTGAGCAGCGAGATGCAGATGTTATTGTTCCAACGCGGTGTATGATTCATCCCATTTCCCTAGTTTAACGATTTTCGAAAGAGGTGGTAACCAAAACAATATTCCGAATGGTGCCTGTATTCAGCTCTGCTAACGTTATGAATATATATTATTTGCTAGATTTGGCGGCGAGGCTTAACAAGCTATTCACCACGTACTACCCCATAGAGGTAGATCAGAATGTAACATACGAGGACAAACTAGCCCACATGGAATACTGGTATGGTACGGCAATTGTGTGTAACCTTAGGTGCAAATTTACATGTATCTTTATGGTCCGTATAAGTACACAAACATATGGAATTAGCATTGATCTTTTGCTGGCATCGATTCTTCTAGTGGGGTGCGCCTTGTTTTGTATTGACTTTTGATAAATCCAAACCACAACTAGTCCAATATGATAGTTGTCAATAGCGCTAATTTTGGTTAGTCTATAGAGCGAAGCAAATACAGTGCATACAGTATAGTTTCCAGATTGAGCACTTGTGGTTGATATAAACCAACGTCGCCTTGTTCTGCCAACATACAGGCTGCAACCAAATCGTGTTTACCCTACAGTCTGTCAGTCGTACAATGGTATCAAGTTATTAAAAACCCTGAATGGTGTCATCAAATCCTGATTCATTTTGGAGGCACTGTTCTAGTTTGACCAGACTATATTAAGGCTTGTAAGATAAGTATTATATGTGTTCCGTAATGAATCTGTGTATGTATATGTTATGCATATATCATGTCTAAAGATTGTGTGCGAAGTCCAAATTCTCAAGAAATGAGTATTGCTGTCCTGTATTGACCTAAGATTTTCTCATGGAGAGCTTCGTTTCCCCAAAACGCATTTCGCGGGGTTGAGTATATCATACTTAGTCTAGTCTTATCTCTTTTTAGTACTATTTTCCCACCACTTCGACCTCGCGTAATCTCCGTACCAGGTGGAACAAAACCAACGAGGCGTTCATAGAGGCAAAATTCGATAGGAAACATATCCCGGAAATTGTCGCCAATGGTAGTAGCAGGTAAATCTCATGTCATCCTTTGCTACCATACGATGGCTTAGGCTTCTATACAGTGGCGATTTTCTACCGGCGTGTTTTGACATGGCAATGTATTTTTCAAGCTTGACTTTCGGGATTGTGTTCTGTTTGAAATTTGACATACTTGCCTGTATGGTTGTACTATAAGCTCTAATTCTTATCTGCTTGAAATATACAATCTACATCTATTTGTCATCATCTTGGGGTGAGGGTGGGCGGAATTTTTGATCGAAGACAGCGTGCTGAAAGAATTATCCACAGGCAATTACAACATACGCGTCCTTTCTTGGCATTCACAGATTCAGAGATGGGTTTGACAGTTTTTTGCAAAAAACTAAAGAATTAGATGTACCCTGTTGTATCCTTTCAGCTGGGTTGGCAGGTACGGGTAGCTTCTGAATATCGAGAGTTCATTTTATATGTGTGCTTGATTGCCTACATCGCGTATTTGCCATATTTTCCAGAAATACTCTCTAAAGAACTTATTTTCTACTTTCAGTACTATGTATGTCTTCTTTATCTATAGGAAAATTAATTCGTAGGCGATTATGTGCGACACTTGTTCAATCACTGTTCATAACTGATCATAAACACAATTGAAAACAAAGTCTGAAAACATTTGTGTACGGCATGTATTGAAAGTGATATTTAGATGCGAAATGATTGCTGAAGTATACATGCCGATGTATATAAAGCATATAATGTATTGTTGTATGCAACGCACATTTTCCTCGGTGGCCGTCGACAATAATTATATATTGAACTACTGAACGGTGAATTACAAGTTGTTCAATCAGGAATGCTACAAATGGCACTATATATATATCATGCCTATTGCTTTAGCATTTGAACTTCTTATAGTTGTCTGTGTCTAATTTTTTTATGCATCTGTGCAGTTTACCTGTGTCTAATTTGTTTATCCATCTGTGCAGTTTATCTGTGTCTAATTTGTTTAGCCATCTGTGCAGTTTATCTGTGTTCAAACTCCCGTACGTAAGAAAAAATGACATGCCTTTATAAGTTATTGAAATCATTTGTACGTCAGTTTTCATTGCAAAGAAGGAGAAGCTTCTATATGGCATATTGTCAACATACC